GTGGTGGCACTGGGCATTGATCCAGGGCACTCTACCACTGAGTTACTCTTTAGCCCTTTTTATTTTTTGAGATATGGTTTTGCTAAGTTCCCCAGGCTGGCCTCAATCTTGTGATCCTCTTGCTTCAGTTTCCCAAGTCTCTGGGAATACAGGTGTGCACCACTGCATCCATCCTTACATAACTTTTACAAGCAATTTATTACCTCTTTCTTAAGCAATTTACTTGTTTTTCCACATTGTCACTATGGTAGCCATAACTGTTGGGCAGTGTATCTTCTCATAACAGATAGAGCTTCAGATTAAGGCACTAGGTTGATAATGTTGTATTATTTCCATGTGTAGGATTAAGGCCCTTAAAAATGTAGGTTAGCCTTCCATCAGACCTTAAAAATTTAATTCATATTCATTAGAGGGATCAAATGATTGATATGCTCCCAGTTTGAAGGATCTTTTGATTTGGCCTCAGGACAGCCTTTGGAATTTCTTTACCCAACAGATTTATTTAGTGTTATTCTGGTAGATGTCTCTCTGGCAAGTTACAGAGAACCCTGTGGTTCAGCGCTAGGGTTTATATCATCTCATGGCAGGATTGTCATACCCACTGGTTTTCTTCCTCGTTATCCACGTATTTGATGCCAGAAGAATTATAGGTACTGTGATGCTCCTTGTGATTCAAAGACAGTTGGTTTTTGTTGTTGTTGTTTTTGTGCACATAGGTTTGTTTTTAATGCTGACATTTTTTTTCTCCTTTTATTTTTACAGTGAATACAGTCCAAGTGATATTTTAAAAATTTGCTGAAAGTGGAAACATGAGACTGAAGATATCTCTTTTAAAAGAACCAAAGCATATCCTTTTAATACTTATAAACTTTATTATAATCATCTTATAGAATTATTAGGTTTTCTTCTATTTTGCATTTAGGTAGGGAATGGACTTATTTTTTATTCCTTTAATGCTAGTTTAGATAAATTACTTTCAAAATATTTGAGATTATGTATTATGAATACTTCTCCAAAGCAAACTATTTGCTCTAAATCTTACTTTCAAATTCTTATTGACATTTTTCTTACTCAAGTATTGTACTGACGTACTTGAAAAGTAGTTTTTGTTTACTCTAGTAGGTTAATAAAGAGAAGCTTTTTAAAAATTTTAAATTTCTTTTGGTACTGGGGATTCAACTCAGGGGCATTTAACCACTGAGCCACCTCCCCAGCCCATTTGATCTTTTTTTTTTGAGACAGGGTCTCGATAAGTTGCTTAGGGCCTTGTTGAGTTGCTGAGGCTGGCCTTGAACTTGTGATCTTCCTACCTCAGCTGCCTGAGTTGCATGCCTTACAAATGTGATGTGTACCACCATGCCCAGTGAATCATTTTTTTAAATTTCTAATGTGTTCATTGGATTTTGCTCAGTTTCTTTGCATTCTTGATAAAGTAGAGGACAAGCTGGAGAAATCTGAGCAGTGAGACCTTTATTATTTCAAAAGGAAAGGTGGCAGTTATTAATATTTTCTCAAATGAATGACCTTGTATTTTGTCAGCAAGTCCCCAGTTCAAATATAAAGAAGAAATAACATTGGATATAAATGACAAACTAAAATATACTCTTTTCTAGGTGCACATTTCTACTAGGGTAAGCAGCTGTCTTGAAGAAGGATGTAAGAGCAACTTTAGCATCTCAACATATGTAGAAATCTTATAATAATAAGAGACTGAAAAAATTGATTAAATAATTTTAGGGGGTCCCTTCAATCCAGGGATCTGGGAGTCTGAGGCAGGAAGATTACAAGTTTGAGGCTAACCTCAGCAACTTAGCAAGACCCTCTATGTCAAATAAAAAATAAAAAGTGCTGGAAATGTACCTCAGTTTTAAAGTGCACCTGAGTTGAATCCCCAGTACTAAAAAATAAAAATTAAAAAAAGAATTTTAGGGGTCTTATTTTTATTCATCTTGTAAATATAGTAAATTGCATTTGAATTAGTTCTTGTCAAATGGAATGTAGCTCAGTGGTAGAGCGCTTGCCTACCATGCATGAGGCTCTAAATTTGATCCCTAACAGTGCAAAAAGAAAAAATATTTTTGTATTGTCAATTAAAAATAAATAACTAAAATGAAAATGAAAAAAAAATATGTTTGGGATAGTTTTAGTTTTTGTTGTTAAGCTATGGGCTTTTCCCTAGGTGAATTGTTATACTGTGTGATTTAAGGGAATATTTTACTTATGTTTTAATCTTATTTTAGTACTTGATTTTTTTGTTTTACTTAACCAAAGTAATATGTGCTTTCAAATAATTGGTACATATATGTCTATTCATATATGTCTACACATGTATATGTGTAGAGTATATGCACACTTTACACGTATATAGTAGTTTCCTTTCTTCCTATCTAGTCCTAAACAATTTAGTGTAGATCATTTCCTACCTTTTAATCTATTAAATTTCTTTTGTATATCTTTTGGCCTTGTTTAAAGAATTATTTTGTAATACAAGTTATAAATATTCATGTAGTCAAATCAGTTTATCCTCTCTTTAGGATTTGGCGGTCTTCCTTGCTTTTCATTCCTATGACTATTTTGATAAGATTTTAAATTTCCTTAACATGGAAGAATATCAAAGTCATAAAATAAAAAATAGTCTGGGTGTAGTGGCACATGCCTATAATCCCTAGTGTCTGGGGAGGTTGAGGCAGTAGAATCACAAGTTCAAAGCCAGCCTCAGCAACTTAGCAAGTTCCTGTCTCAAAATAAAAAATAAAAATGGCTGGGATATAGTTCAGTGGCTAAGTACCCCTGAGTTCAGTCCCTGCTACCAAAAACAAACAAACAAACAAAAACCAAAATATTTAGAAGATTGAAAACTTTAACCATTTTATATTTTACTTCCTTCTCATAATCTGCATCTGTGAATTATTAAGACTTAAGATTTGTGTGCTTCTGTGTGTTTTATGCCTCCTTAATATGATATCACATCAAGAATTAGTAAGTTGTGTGGGCTGGACTACTGCTGAAGAATTATATTCATGTAGTGATGATCACCAGATAGTGAAATGGAACTTGTTAACCAGTGAAACAAGTCAAATTGTAAAGCTTCCTGATGATATTTACCCTATAGATCTTCACTGGTTTCCAAAAAGTTTAGGCATAAAGAAACAGACACAAGCAGAAAGCTTTGTTCTCACAAGTTCTGATGGTAAGTTTTAAATAAGTATTTTGTGTCATGTATAATATATGTTTTCAATTGTTTTACATAACTGGCATTTATGAATCTGCATGCCTTCATTCACACATTTATTTTCTGTATAATCATTTGGTTTGGGTCTCAGAATTATTATTATGGAAGACAGTGAATTAAAGTGCCGTATATTGGATTGAATATGGGCCCTTGGCTTTATTTTCACTGTGCTCTGATGAGCTGAATTTAGCTGTTTTCATAATTTTGGTTTGTAATTTCTTCATATTTAAATAATAACATAACCACACCAAAAAAGATACGGATGTACATACTCAGTTTATTAAATCTATACTTTAATTTCTAGCATATGTTCATTTCCATTTGCAGAGTTGGATATTTATTTAACTTGACTATAGTTTTATTACTAGTGAATAGAAAGCATGATTTTTCTACTTTTATTATTTCATTATTTTTAATTTAGTTTTTTTTTTTTTTCCAGAAATGCTTGAACTATTTTTGTATTACATTTACCTACTAAGTCAGTTAGCGGGTACTCCAACAGAACTTATCTGGCTAACATGCATAAATGGAGTTTTCTGGTTTACCTAAATCTAGGGGTAGATATTCAAGCATAGCTGTAACAGACTTCTGTTCTTACCATCTCTTGCATAGTTTCTACCCATGTGGTGAGCAGTCTAAGGTTCATCATCTTGGAAAATAAATGTCAGTAGAAAGAATGCTTCTTCCATAATACCTTTTTGTAGGCAAGTTTTTGAGAGGGTCTTACGTGAGCTTGGTTCATGTGAATCACTTTAATCAAGGGAATAGGACACTAATTGAGTATGTCAAGCCTCAAGCAACTACATGGAAAAGAAAAGAGAAAGAAAGGAGAGGAGGGAAAGGGAAGGAATCTTATGGCTAACACTAGTGTCAGGTTGCACTTCATTAGCAGAAAGTCTTTTCTTTTTTAAACGTTTTTTGGAAACTTGATTAAATGAGATACATATGTGAAAGCACTTGGTAACCACAGATAGAAAGCGAAGTGATGTTATGGCTAACACTAGTGTCAGATTGCATTTCATTAGCAGAAAGTCTTTTCTTTTTTAAATTTATTTTTCTGAAGCTTGATTAAATGAGATGCATATGTGAAACCACTTGGTAACCACAGCTAGAATTTAATTTTGCCTCAGATGGATGATAAAGTGAAAGATTCACTTAAAACAAAATTTTCTATTTTGATATTATTTTGCATTTACAGAAATGAAAATTATAAAAATATTTTCTGCATATTCTTTAATACAGATTCACTAGTTTATCATTTTGTCACATATTCTTTACTTTTGTCTCTTTCTTCTTTCTGTACACATGTGTACTGCACACATTTTTTTCTCTGAAAGATTTGAGGGTAATTTGCAGACCTGCCTTGTAAGCCATAACGTATTAATGCATTTCCTAAGAATGAAGATTTTCTATTATGTCACCATAATACATTGATCAAAATCAGGAAATTTAACATTAATGCAATACCATTATCGCATCTATAGTTCATATTCAAATTTTAATGTTTGTCCTGACAATACCTTTTGTAGAATTTTGTTTTTTCTATTACAGAATAGCATACTGCTTTTGTTATGTCTCTTTAGGTTCTTTTAATCTGGAATAACTTCTCAGTCTTTCTTGTGTGATCTTGATAATTTTGAAAAATACAAACCTGTTATTTTATACAATGTTCTTCAACTTGTGTTTATTTGATGCTTTCTTATGATTAGATTCAATTCAATTTCTACATTTTTACCAGAAATACTTAGGATAACAGATTAGGAAATTCATGATGTTGGTTTGACCTATTATTAATGATATTAGCTTTACTTGATAGGTTATGTTTACTAAGTTAATCTAAAGTTACTATTTTTCCCATCTAATAAATAATTTGTGAAAGAATATTTTCAGATTTTAAAGTGTTCTCCTCCCACTCTTTTTAAAGTGTTTAGATTTCCTCCCACTCTTTTTGTAAAGGTCGGGCGAGCATCGGAGGAAGAGACCACCAAGAGACTGTCTTATGCAACAGCAAAGGGTTTATTGGGGGTCCAGCATGCTGGGGCTCAGAGCTCACTTGAATAGAGCAGAGAGCCCCGGGAACAGCTTAAGCAGAACTTATATATTTTCCTTGGAGAGGGCAGAGACTTCACATACAGCATAGCCAATCATTGCATGGTTTCTGGGAGGGGTTGTTTTCGTAGAGCAACCAGATGATCAGGGGAGATTTTAGCATACATTTAGTGGGCATTTCCGGGAGTTGTTTTCAACTTCTACATGAGTTTCAGGTTCCAGGAAAACAGAACTTAATTCTTACATTCTTAACCTTTTCATTTTAGCATCTGTTGATGTTTCTTGGCTAAATCATTTATTAATAAGGTGGTTTTTCTGTCTTCATAATTTCTTCCATATTGAATAGTTGATAATTTATAATTTATTCCAAGGAAGAGGTTTCATCCCATGCCATTTATTTATTTTGTTTTTTTTTTAAATATCAGATTAGGCTTTTAAAGATTCTTATTTTATTTCATGAATATTCTGTTACTGTCATTTTATTTATTTTTTAGGGCACAATACCTTCATTTTATAAATTTAAATTTTTTTTAGTTGTAGATGAACACAATGCCTTTATTTTATTTTATTTTTAAAATTTTTATGTGGTGCCGGGGATTGAACCCAGTGCCACACGCATGCTAGGCAAGCACTCTACCACTGAGCCACAACCATGGCCCCCTTTATTTTATTTTTATGTGGTGTTAAGGATCGAACCCAGTGCCTCACAAGTGCTCTACCATTGAGCCCTAGCCCCAGCCCCCTGTTACTATCATTTTAAAATCTTGATGTTAAAATTATACCAGATTTGGCCACTGGGAGTCCCATCAATGGAGGCAGCTAAAGTGTTTTTTTTGTTTTGTATATGTCCTCATTATTTGAAAATTTCCTTGCTGTCAAAAAGTGTTGTAGGCTTACCTAGTCCTCTCCTGGTTCCAGTACCCAAATCAGCCATTTTCCAAGGAGACCTGTTCTGTTTTTGGTGGTTAAGGCTATCAGTGCTGTGTTCATTCCAGAGGGGTGTGTTTGTTTCAAGGCCCTTTCAGTAGTCAGAGCTAAGAAATAGGAGTTCATATGTATATTTAAAAATACACAGCTAAAATATGAATTGTAATGCAATCTGCTGTTATATGTAACAAATTAGAATAAAAAAAAGCATGCTAAAAGATTCATAGCTATAGCTATTTAGTTTTTTCTTTTTATGTTATCTAAACCATGAGTTGATGAAGATGTCATCAGTTCTAATTAAATACCACAGTTTTAATTTTTATCTTTTTTTCTATATTTGAGAACAGTGAAGAAATCTGGTTCCATTATTATCAGTATCTTTATATATTTCTTAGTTCTATAATACACATTAGTTACAAAATTGATAACACATACTACTCCAAAGATTAAGGTTCAATATCTGTTTACTAGTGTTTTTATCTTTGTTTTTGATTGAAGATATAGAGTCAGAGTTCTGTGTTCTGGAGATACTTGCCTTGTCCTCCTGCTTAAGTGTGTAATGTTATTCATTTGAAATACAGTTATATTTATTCTTGTTTTCCATTTAAGAGCTCTTCCTCCCCATCCTTATTGATATATTTTTTATATATGTAAATAATTATGAAGCAAACTCAAAACTATATAAAAAGAATAGTCAGAATAACCTTAACCCACACAATTCCATACACCTTGTTTCTATTTATTCACCTACGTAACCAATCTCTTTGGTTCTGGTTTGTCCTTCTTGTATTTCTTTTGGCAAAAATAGATGTATATGTTCTCATATCAACTTTTTAAAATACATTATCATATATTTTCTTTACATTTTTCTTTTTAAACAGTAGTATATGAGGCTTAAATTTTATCTGGTGAATTTGGACAGTAAAAATAGTCTTGATAATTTCTGTTGTCCTGAAGTATTCGTCTTACTTAATCACTATAAATTAATAATTCCTTAGATCTCTACTTCCCATTGGATTTTTTCTGATTGTGGGAAAAAGTCTAATGTAAAAAAAGTATAATTTAAAAGATAAATTTATAACAATAGTAAAGAAAAATATGTTATGACTCTGAGAAGTCATAGTATTTAATTTTATTTTTAGGTTTCCTATGTAAAGTAACAAAGTATACCGTAACTTGTTGTAGAGAGAAGAGAGAACCAAAGTAGGGTATTTTCTTCCAAGAATAGCTGGGATCTTTTCAATACAGATGATGGATCAAAGAAAAGAAGTGGAAGAATAAGATAGAAAACGGCATCCCCCCCCCCCAAAAAAAAAGGCAAGTGCTCAGGGAGGAAGGTAAATGCACTGAGAGGTGATGAAAGGGTTTCCTGCCAAATAAACATATGAGGTCATTTTATTTATCAATGCTATGTTCATTTTTAACCCAGGACTTTATTAGTACATTGTGGTAAACAAACATAAACATGAAATCTACAGTACAGTATTATTGATTATAAACCCATGGTTGTACTCCCAGCTCTGAAACTTGTTCATCTTATGTGATATTAACCCCAATGCCTAAAAAAAAATTCCTTTGAGATTTACTTCATTGCTCAAGAATTTCTTTATTCTGTTTTCCTCCAGCTTTCTCTTCTTGGTTTTACTCCCCTAAGACTGGCAGAAAAGGAAGTTTCAGTTTTTAAATTTGTACATCACTCTTTCCAGTGTTCCCATTTTATGATCCTTTCCTCTTTTGTATTTGTGATACCACTAATTATTAACAGCCAGTTCCCTAATATATTTAAATAATTCCTAATATAGCACTTGTCAGAAAATCATATTGGGTATTTTAGGGTAAGAAATAAAAATCCTGAGATTTGTGGCAGGTCTTGAATAATTTTCTCCTCAATATTCCCTCCTTTTAAAATATTTTTAGAAGAGATAAGTGTTAGAATTTTGTTTTGAGGGGCTGGGGTTATGACTCAGTTATAAGAGTGCTTGCCTGGCATGTGTTAGGCACTGGGTTTGATCCTCAGCACCACATAAAAATAAATAAAATGAATGTATTAAAGGTATTGTGTCTATTGCCCCCTCCAAAAAATCAATTGACCATAAATGTATGTTTATTTTTTAAAAAATTTAGCTGCATGGAGTTGGGCAAATCTGTAATCCCAGTGGCTCAGGAGGCTGAGGCAGGAGGATTTTGAGTTCAAGGCCAGCCTCAGCAACATAAAGAAGCCCTAAGCAACTCAGTGAGGCCCTGTTTCTAAATAAAATATAAAAAGGGCTGGGGATATGGCTCAGTGGTTAAGTACCTCTGGGTTCAATCCCTGGTACCAAAAAATATATATATAAATGTTTTGAAAGAATCAAATTATTTAAATTAAATTAAATTATTTAAAATAGGAGCTACTTTGTGAAGGAATTCTGGTATAAAATCTTTTATTGGGGTGATATAAAAATCTTTTGTAAAGCCATTAAACATTCCTTCAATTATCTTTCATGAATGTTGGTATTTTTTACATTGTATTTTATTAGTTATTATGCCCATTTAAAAATTCCACTTTAAATGTAATTTTTATTTTTATTATTTTTTGTATCAGAAATGAACTATTAGAATTTCTGTGGCTGGGTGTGTTGGAACACGCCAGTAATTCCAGCTACACGGGAGGCTGAAATAAGAGGCTCCCAAGTTCAAGGATAGCCTGGATAACTTAGGGAGACCTACTCTTAAAGTAAAGAATGTAAATAAAGGGCTGGGGATGTAGCTCAGGGGTGAAGTGACCCTGGGTTCAGTCCCCAGTACCCCACAAAAAAAAAACACAAAAGAAAGAAAGAAAGATAAAAAAGAAGTAAAACAAACATTAAAGAAAAAAAAAAAACAAAACTCTTTGTGGCTTTTTATTGCCATCTGCCAAAACATTTCTGCTACTAAGCAGTCTGCAAAAGCACTCATCTGTTACTTTTTTCTTAGCCTTCTTGTTCCGAGTCTTGTTCTCATGGACATTTTTTAAGCACTTGTAGTCTTTAAAAATGTGTTTCATGTATTTTTAATCTACTTCCTGTTCTTTTTATTATTCATAATTAATTTAGGTTACTACAAAAAGTTAGGATTAAATTTAGTTTATTTAATGCGATAAGTTTATTCATAAGAGTTTAAATACCTATCTTTTAAATCCAAAACATTCATTGTTTATATAATAAATGAATCAGTGAATCTTCCTGTTTGTATTCACTGACCAACCCCAACACCTAACATGTAGATAGAAATAAATTAATTAATCTCTAGTTTTAGTCCTGCATTTTTTTTTCTTTCTTTTTGTCCTGGGGATCAAACGAGGGCTTCACACAGGTGCTCTACCACTGAGCTACATCCCCAGTTCTGTTTTCCATTCTTTCAGAAAGGTCACAAGAAAGCTGGGAAAGTTGTAGAGAAGAGCCCAAATAGTTAAATGGATAAATATGGATTTTTTACATATTTGATTTATGTAATTCTGCATTTATGCTTTATACTCTGGGTATGCTATTTAAGCAGCTTGTGACAATCAGACTTAATACAAAGACCAAAGATTCATTGTGTGCTAAATCTATGCCAAAAACAAACAAAAAAAATCCTCAAACCAACAACCTCAGTTGTCCCAGTATGTATTTTCTTTAAGGTTATGGGTAGCATGGTAATGTTAGCACTTGTCAGAAAATCAGAATTAGATGTTTTAGGGTAAGAAATATCAGTGATGTAAATACATAAATATTTTTAAAATTAGAATAGGTTGAAAGATAAGTTTTGGACTCTACCTTTCTGGTCAAGAGTTATTTGGTTAATTTCTTTGATGAGTTCATACATTATCTGCAACAGTTATTTATTTTGTGGATATTATGTGCTAGACATTATGCTAACATTTAATGAAACGCCTGAATAAAGTAATGTAATGTCTGATTAGCTTTCCACTTACTATATGTCATCTTTTACCTCTTTTGAGACTATTTCCCCTTGTATTTTGTTTGTAAAGTAATATATGAAAACACATGTACACAAATTAATTTTAAGTTGATTTAATAAAGAATTAGTACAGTTGAATTCAAAGTAATCTTGTTATGTTAGAAAAATGACACAGCAGTAAATATAAAGTTAAAAGGAAGTGGGAGAAGTAGATGTTGCTAGTGGATTGTTAGATGAATGATAGGGTAGCTTACGACCTAGAAAGGTCCTAGAAAATGAATGCTGAGAGAAGAAAGTCATTAAAATTAATGGGAAAGAAAGTGTCAAAGTAGGCTATGTTTTGGGATGCTGAGTTGGTTAACTTTAACCAACTGATTGTGTAAAAGGAAAATAGTACTTTTACAAATAAAAATAAAATAAAAATCTAAGATATGGCCCTGGTCCTGAAAGGAATCAAAACTTAATAAAACATACTTTAACAGGGTGTTAAGTAAAAATTCCTGAGACCAAGAGATCTCTGGAGTAAATGGATTTATTGAGCCATAAAAGATGCTTGCCAGAAAGAAAGAACTAGTCCTGGGATAAATTCCCTTAGCTACCACCTAGGTGGCAGGTAGAAAAATGTCTGTTGTATCTAAAGACCAGAATACTTTATAATGAAAGTTTGGAGAGGGAAGAGTCAAGTTATTTACACAACCCTACATTGGCTATTTAGTATAGGGACAAGATTACCCAAATCAGTGAAGACTTTGAGATAGGTAGGTAATCTGCCAGGGATGTGGTAGCATATAACAGGGCAGGATACAGCATATAACACATCAGATATTTTAAAAGCTTTCAAAATACATCCAAGATTACAAGATGGTCTTTTGTTCTTTTTTTGGCCTGTAGTTTATTGCTGATTAGCCTCCTTCTATCTCTCTTCCTTCTTTCTCTCTCTTGCCTTTTGTAATTAAATTTAGGACGCTCAGAATTTTTTCATTGTCGTTAGCTATAAATAAAGTATCCTTTGTGTAGAAAGGGAGAATAACATTTTTTTGGTGAAAATGATTAGGTGGGACCAGGTATTGAATGTTTAAAGCTATCTTAAGCATCTGCCTTGTGTGTGTGTGTGTGTGTGTGTGTGTGTGTGTGCGCGTGCGCGCGTGCGCCAGGACTTTGTGCATTCTAGGCAAGCACTCTACTACTGAGATATATTCCCAGTTCTTAAATATATTTTAATGAATTGTTAAGTCAGAATCTTGAAAAGGTGTATGTTAAAAGTGATTTTAAACAGAATAAATCCTTAGTCAAAATTTGATTAGGCAGCTACATTATTCTTTTAGGATATATATATATATATATATATATATATATATATATATGTGTTACATTTATGTATTCTATGGAAAAGTTTGTAGATTCAATGTACTTTTTTGTTTTATTACTATCTGTATATATATATTACTAGGTTTAATGATTATTCAAAAATTATATTGATACTTTGTCTTCCTGTACCACTTATTTTCACATATTTGATTTTTCCCCTTGACATCTGATATAGTTTTACTTACATCTCTTGAAGTAATTTTTAACTTTTTGCCTATAAATGTACAAACTTGGAGGAGAGCATCTAAGTACTTGGCCTATTTTTTGTCCTGGTACCTGACAACAGTAGAAAATCATATAAGGCAAGTGTTTTAAAACCTGGGATTATTTATATAACTATTTTTTCTTTGTACTTTTTCAACTGTTCCATAGCTTAAAAAAATCAAGAATGTAAAATTCTGCTTAAATATAAGGGTTTCTTGACATTTCTCTTGGCACACCTTAACTGTAGCAGAATTTCATTGTTTCTCTGAACCATTATGTACACGTCTGTTATACCGCTTGTTTCTAGGTTTTGTAACTCTATTTTTATGCCTGTTTTTCTTAAATTTTTTTTTTAGTTATACATGGACACAATATCCTTATTTTGTTTGTTTGCTTATTTATTTATTAGAGAGATTGAGAGAGAGAGAGAGAGAAAGAGAGGGAGAGTTGTTTAATATTTATTTTTTAGTTTTCGGTGGACACAACATCTTTATTTTATTTTTATGTGGTGCTGAGGATCGAAGCCAGGGTCTCACATGTGGGAGGTGAACGCTCTGCCCCTGGGCCACCACCCCAGCCCTGTGCCTGTTTTTCAATAGATTTGTTTTCCTTGAGATTAAGAATAATTACGTTGTTTCTTTTTATGCCTAGAAGGCCTAGTACTAAGCTAATTATTCTAGTAGTACATGCTCAACAGATGTTTGTGTACTGAATAATTAATAAAACATTTCTCAAATACAATTTTTTAGGTAAATTTCATTTGATTTCTAAGTTAGGAAGAGTCGAGAAAAGTGTAGAAGCTCACTGTGGAGCAGTACTTGCAGGAAGATGGAACTATGAAGGTACAGCACTAGTTACAGGTACGTTATTTGTAAAAATAACTTTTTAAAAATTGGTCTTGGGGATTGAACCTAGGGCTGCCTTGTGTATACTAGGTAAGTGCTCTACCACTGAGCAAAATCCCTTAACCCCAAAGTGACATTTTAAATGAAATATTTAAAGAAAATTTCCAAAGAGACAGAAAGAGATACTTTCATTTAGCAATAAAAATTTTCACTGTGTGATAGCAAATGCTTGGCACAGAATCTAGATTGCTATATAAATGTTATAATTCAAAACATATTGTTAGTTTTCTTTTTTTTCCTAATTTACTTTGTTTCTTTTGTTGTATGAATTTAAGTTTTATAACATAGTATGTTTAGCAATACATACAAAGAAAAAAATTAGTGTTGTAGATAAGTAATTTAACATATGCAACAGAAAGTATGTTATGTATTCACAATGGTGAATACATAAACAAAAATGAGTTTGTAATTTTCAGAAAAATAGATGGAACTGGATGATGCAACACTAAGTGATGAAAGACACAAAAAGAAAAATATCACATGCTGTCTATTATATATGTCGGATAAAATAAAATTTATGTGAAAATAGAATACTGGCTCTGGCTGAGAAGACTTCTGGGGCATCAAGGGTGGAAGAAGAAACGGGGCACAGTGTCACACATCTGTAATCCCAGTGGCTTGGGAGGCTGAAACAGGAGGATTGCAAGTTCAAAGCTAGCCTTAGCAACATTAAAAGCCTGTCTCTAAATAAAATACAAAATAGGGCTGGGGATGTGATTTAGTGTTCTAGTGCCCCTGAGTTCAATCCTCGGTACCAAAAAAGAGTGGAAGAAGAGTGGTTGGACATTATTAGTACATGTGTATGCATACATGAAAATATCACACCAAATCTTATTAATATGTATAGTAGATATGTGTTAATAAAATCCATTGTGTTGCATAATTATTCATTCTTCAATAAGAGCACTTAAAATTATACTCTTTGGAATTTCTAGTATATGATGCAGTATTATTAATTGTTGTCTTCTAGTAACCTCTGTTCTCTATACATTCAACTTTTTTTTTTTCCAGATTCTACACATAGTGTATGTAATATATTTCTTTCTGTGTCTGGATCATTTCACTTACCTCGAAGTCCTCTAGCTTCATCCATGTTATTTTAAATGGCAGAATGTTCTTTTGTTATTAGAGTTTGAACCTAGGGTTGCTTTGCCAGTGAGATGTATCTCCAGTCATTTTTATGTTTTACTTTTAAGATAGCATCTTGTTAAATTGCTGAGGCTGACCTTGAACTTTGCCATCACTTCTACCTGTAGCATCCTTCTTATAAAAGTTGAATGATAAGCCAGGTATGGTGGCACATGGCGGAGGCAGAAGGATTACAAATTTGAAGCCAGTCTCAGCATCATAGTGAGACCTTCTGCATCTTAAAAAAGACCCTGACTCAAAATAATCTTAAAAATGGAAAATATTATATATGTATGCATTTTTATATATTTGACAGGAAAGCCGAGAATAATCATCCATCCCACACTTGGATGTTAAACATCTTTGTACCTCTTCTCCATTTATACTCTCTAGACCCAGTTGCTATATTAGAATGTCATTTTATTGTGTCTCTCCTTAGGAAACTTGACAGGGTGATATTTTCCTACTCACTGCAGTATCTTTTCCTCATCCTGCATTTAAGTGGTGCATGAGACTGATACCAGGTACCCACAGGTGTTTTGTCCTAGTGTACTCTCCTGCTACAAAGCAGTTTGAGTTTTGGGGCTGGAGGCTCTTGTAGGAGCAGCTAGATACCCTTGGAACTGATTGCAATTTCTCCAAGGACATTTGGAATGGGCACTCTGGCATTTTCAAAATGAACTTCCTAAGTGAAAGTAAGCAGGCCTCATTCCTCCTCCAGAAGGACTAGATGGAATCCATAGTCAATTGACCTTGAGATGAAGGATAGCCAAGATGTGCTGCTAGGATCAAAGTGATAAACCCTTCCAAGCTGATCTGCTCCAGCCACTTCTACTTGGCTGGAAAGGCCCAGGCAACAATAGGAGTTGGTGATGACAAAGGCATCTTCAGTGAAGAACATTTCCATGGATCTCACAAATAGATTGATATCATTAAGTTCACCTTTGCTAGGTTATTCTTGGATCTGCCCAGGAAGAGCTCTTTGGCCCAAGCTTGGCTATCTGGCCTGCAGCAGGCCTCTCACCTTGGAGTCTATGTGAGCCAAACATCTTTATATAGTCTGCAGTGGATGCAGAGCTCCTCATCTTGTTGGTTTTCTTTTCTTTTAGAGACAGTTCTGTCAAAGAAGTCTTTATTTTATTATTATTATTTTTTAAAGTTTTTGTTCTTTTTAGTTATATACAAACATAGAGTACATTTTATTCTAATTAGGATCCCAGTCTTGTGGTTGTACATGATGTAGAAATTCACTGTGGTGTATTCATATATATATATACACATAGGAAAGTTATGTCAGAATCATTTCCTATTCTTTTCTCCTCTGCCTTTCCTTCATTTCCCTTTGTCTAATCCAGTGAACGTCTATTCTTCCCCTCCTCCATTTTGTTGTATTAGCCTCCACATATTAGAACATTCAACCTTTTGGGGGGGGGCAGGGAATTGGCTTATTTTACTTAACATCATAGTCTCCAAATCCATTTTATTTTCCAGTAAATGTCATAAAGTCATTCTTTTTTATGGCTGAGTAATAGTCCAATGTGTTTATATATCATATTTTATTCATCCATTCATCTGTTGAAGGGCACTAGGTTGGTTTTATAGCTTAGCTATTGTGAATTGAGCTGCTATAAACATTGTTGTGGCTGTGTTACTGTAGTACAGCTGATTTTAAGTCTATTGGGTATAAACTAAGGAGTGTGTCAAATGGTGGTTCTATTCCAAGTTTTCTGAGGAATCTCCATACTGCTTTCCAGAGTGATTGCACCAATTTATAGTCCCACCAGCAATGTATGAGTGTACCCTTTCCCCCATATCCTTGGCAACATTTACTTGTATTCTTTTTTTTGGTGGTGCTGGGGATTGAACCCAGGGCCTTGAGCATATGAGGCAAGCACTCTATCAACTGAGCTATACCCCTTGTCTTGTTACTTGTATTCTTGATTGTTGCCATTCTGACTGGAGTGAGTGGAATCTAAGTGTAGTTTTAATTTGCATTTCTCTAATTGCTAGAGATGTTGAACATTTTTTTGAACATATTTCTTTTGTGAAGTGTCTATTCAGTTCTTTTGTCCATTTATTGAGTTGTTTGTTTTTTTTTTTTAGTTCAAAGAAAGGTTTTAGAGTAGTCAAATTTGAGATAAATAAAAGTTGTAATTCTTTAAAATTTCAAAATTCAAAATATTCTGACTGACTTTTATCTTCCTTTTATCTCTTCCTTATCTTCCTTATGAGAGTATTCTCATCTCTCATCTTCACAAAATTATCTACTACTGCGTAGTTCATGATTTTTTTTTTTTTTTTTTGATACTGGGGATTGAATCCAGGGTGCTTAAACACTGAGCCACATTCCCAATCCTTTTTTATATTTTATTTTGAGAAAGGGTCTTGCTAAGTTGCTTAGGGCCTCACTGACTTGCTAAGGTTTGACTTTGAACTCACGATCCTCCTGACAGCCTCCTGAGTCTCTGGGATTATAATTCATGACTTTTAATAATAAATGTGTAGTATTTGACAGTTTCTGTGGGTTAGAGAGCAGTTTAGGTGGATGACTCTTTATGGCTCAGTGTCTCTCATGAGGTTTCACTCAAGTTGTTGGATGAGACTATAGTCATACCAAGGCTTGACTAGGGCTGAAAGATCCATTTCCAAGGTGACTTACTTACCTGCCTCAATAGGTAAGGGAAGAGGCCTTAGTTCCTCTCTGGCTTTGGCAGGAGACTAATTTCCTTGCCACATAAGCATCTCCATAGGGCTGTATTTTTATAACATGGCAGCTGCTTGTCCTAGTGATCCAAAAAAAGAACAAGATAGAATCCACAATATTTTTTTGTGACTTACTCTTAGAAATCATACTCTATCATTGCCATCATATTCTAGTTCATTAGAAGCAAATTGCTAAGTACAGCCCACACTGAAGGAGAGAGAAATAAGCTCTATCTTTTGAAGGGGATGGGATAATAGAGAATTTGTGGATGTGTTTTAAAACTACCGTAGCTATCACCTGGCTTTTGGTCAGAGGGCTTTCTCGGTGAATTGTCCCTTCTGTAATCTGTATTTTAAAAAATAATAATTTTATTGATGTATAATAAAAACCATGTTACCAGATCCATTGTGACATATTCATATATGCATATAATTTGGTCAATTTTATTTCCTTCTTCCTTCCCTTACCTTCCTCTTTTTCCTCCCCTGCTTTTTTTTACGCTGCTAGTCTCCCTTGTATTTTCATGAGATCCTTTTTCTTCCTTTTTTCTCTCTAGCTTCAACATATGAGAGAAAATATAGGACCCTTCACTTTCTGAGTTTGGTTTATTGCACTTAACATGATGATCTCCAGCTCTGTCCATTTTCCTGCAAATGACTTCATTCTTTTTTTTAAATTACTGAATAAATCTCCATTGTATATATATGTATACCACATTTTCTTTATTCATTCATCTGTTGATGGATGTTTAATCTTGTTCACACTGGGCTATTATGAATTGCCCAGCAGTAAACATAGATATATATGTATCAGTAATAGATGCTGAGTTTAATTCTTTTGGATAAATACTGAGGACTAGTATAGCTAGGTCATATGAAAGTTTCATTCCTGACATTTGAGGAAACTCCATGCTGATTTGCATAGTAGTTATATTGCGGAAAGCTTGGTCCTTGTCTCTGATGCCAATCCAATAATGAGGACACAGTTTTGAGGAAAAAAAAAAAAAAAGGTTTATTGCTTTGCTAATTGATAGACCCAACCTGATCTTTTATTAAAATTGGGAGCCATCTTGCCACAAAGCCATGAAAAGATAATTTCGGCTTTACTATAAATTACTGCAAATTCTGAACCTGCTTGGAATGCCTGCCCGTGCCTTGAACTCACCCATGCCTGGCTCTCTGACCAGATAGCAGCCCTCTCTGAAACTTTAGTGATAACTCATAAATATTGGCCTTCCCTGGCCAGACAACGACCCTCTCTGAGGCTCTAATGGTCCTCATAAATTCTGATGTTGGGGCCAGCAAAAAAAAAAAAATAAATAAACTACCATTAGTGTGATGCTTGTCAGAGTTCTGTTATCTGTAACCCCCCTTTTGTGTAACTTTCTGGGCTATAAAGCTGGGCTGGGAAAGGTGGGGTGGCTGTCTTGTTCCCGCCGTTTTGGGAGGGAGAGGCAGCCCGGCTGGTCGAAATAATAAGCTTGCTTTAATTTGATTTTAATTGGAGTCAGTGGTCTTTTCTTGAGTCCTGGTCTAACACTAATGAAGGAGAAACACAACAGACACCTATCCCAAAAGCTGTGATTCTGCGGGAAAGGAGTTTGTAAAGAGGTGATTCAAAGCCTACATTCCTTGTGTTCTTTTTGGAATTGTAATCACTTGTTAATTTGGGACATAGTCATTTCTGAGATCTTCTAGTACCAGCCCCAAAGTCTGGATTACTTTGTTCTTATGGTGGATGTGTACCCAAGGTCAGATAACTCTGTTTAGGATTGGGATGAAAGGTAACCCTGTTTCCCCTGAGATTAGGGAGGGGGAGAGATTAGGGAGGAGCAGGGAGTGAGGAAGAGAAAGAAACATGTCCATTTTAAAAATAAATTGCATTGGCAGAGCAGCCAAGGCTATATTCAAAGCATAAAGTGTACCACTGTTACAGTAATTTACAATTCCACCAACAGAATTCATATTTCCCATCTCTCTAGCATTTATTGTTGTTCATTTTCTTTTTTTGAGGGGGTAGATACTGGAGATTGGTGGGGCACTCAACTACTGAGCCACAACCCCTACCCTGTTTTGTATTTTTTTTTTTTAAATATGTATCTTTAGTTGTAGATGGACCTACTGTCTTTATTTTTATGTAGTGCTGAGGATGGAACCCAGGGCCTCACACGTGCTAAGCAAACATTCTACTACTGAGCCAGAACCCCAGCCCCCTATTTTGTGTTTTATTTAGAGACGGGGTCTCACTGAGTTGCTTAGCACTTCGCTTTTTGCTGAGGTTGCCTTTAAACTCTTTTAATCCTCTTGCTCAGCCTCATGAGCCCTTGGGAATACAGGCGTGTGCCAACACACTGGCTTTTTGTATTCTTGATGGTTGGATTGCCATTTTAACTGGAAATGAAATCTCAGTGTAGTTTTGATTTGCATTTCCCTGATGACAACATTTTTTCATATATTGAACATTTTTTTATTTATTGGCCATCTGTGCCTTTGAAAAATATCTGTTTAGTTCATTTGCCCACTTATTGATTGTGTTGTTTTTGTTGGTATTTTTTTTGAGTTCTTTATATATTTTGGATATTAATCCTTTTGTCAGAGGAGTAGCTGGCAAAGATCTCCCATTATGTCTTTATACTCTGTTGTTTCCTTTGTTGTGTAGAGGCTCTTTAATTTAATGCCACCCCATTTATTAATTTTTGTATTGTTTCCTGAACTTTAGTAGTCCTATTGAGGAAGATAGGGCCTGTGCCTATATGTTAGACTGTTTATCCTACATTTTCTTTTAGCAGTTGAACAATTTCTGGTCTAATTCATAGTTCTCTAATCCATTTTGCATTGACTTTTGAGCAGGTTGAGAGATAGGGATCTAGTTTTATTTTTCTACATGTGGATATCCAGTTTTTCCATCATTGTCTGTTAAAAAGACTGTGTTCTCCAACATATGTTTTTTGTTTCTTTGTCAGGGATGAGATGACTGTATCTGTTCGGGTTTGTGTCTGTCTTCTATTTTACTGGTCTACCTGTTTTTATGTCAGTGCCATGCTGTTTTAGGTACTGTAGCTCTGTAATATATTTTGAAATAGGGTATTATGAGTGTTCCTTTTTTTTTTTTTTTTTTTGCTATTCTGGGTCTTTTGTTCTTCCATAAGAAGTTTAGAAATTAATTTTTTTCTAGATCTTTGAAGAATGTCATTAGTATTTGATTGCTTTTAGTAATATAGCCATTTTAACAATATTAATTCTACCTATTGATGACCATGGAAAGTCTTTCCATCCTCTAGTGTCTTTTTAATTTCTTTTTTTATATGTTATGTTTTTATATTTTCATTGTAGAGGTCTTTCATATCTTTGGTTAGATTTATTTCCAGGATTTTGCTTGTTTGTTTTGTTTTTAGGCTATTGTAAATAGAATTGTTTTCCTGATTTCTTTCTCAGTGGATTTGTATGCTGATTTAGTATCTTTCTACTTTGCCAAATTTGTTTGTCAGCTCTAGAAGTCTTCTGGTGGAGCATTTGAAATCTTCTAAAATATAGGATCATGTCGTCTATAAAAAGCAATACTTTGATTTCTTTCCTTCCTATTTGTTTTCCTTTTATTTCTTTCTCTTGCTAAATTACTCTAAAATTTCATTAGTGGTCTCACATGTATCTTAAATTACTTTTTCAATGGCTTCTTTTTCATGGTATAAAGGTGGTTAGATGTCACTTATTTTAAAAATTGAGAAGGACAATAAATTCCAGGCTGGGGCAGTAGCTCAATTAGAATGCTTATCTAGCACTGCCTAAAATAAAATAAAAAATAAATTAAAATAAGTACAAAAATCCCTAACATACCTTGCTACCACATCTTCTTTCTTTCCTTTTTAGCTAAGCTATTCAACAGAATAGTCCATCATTTCATTTCATTCAGTCCCCAATTCACTGGAATTTGATTGCAGTAGTTTTTACTACACTAACAGTATTTCTCTTGTTGTTTTTGTTGGGGTGTGTGTGTGTGTGTGTGTGTGTGTGTGTGTGTGTGTGTGTGTGTGTTTGGTACTGGGGATTGAACCCAGGGGTACTTCAGCTCTGAGATACAACCCCCAGCCCTTTTTATTTTATTTTTGTGACAGGCTCTCACCAAGTTGCTCAAACCAGTCTTGAATTTGTAATCTTCCTGTTTCAGCCAAACCAAATTGCTAGGATTATAGGCCTGTACCTCTGCACCTGGCTTTCTCTTAGAATTCTAAAATGGTGATTACTTTGACAATGAGAGCAGTATATGAATAACAATAAGGCTTCTAAATTGAAGGAAAAAAATACAATTTTAGTCATGGCAGTTAGGATATTTTGACAAAATTGTTTTAAAGTAATTTTTCCATTTCTAAAGCTTTCTTTCTATCATTTAGAGTAAGTTATATCCAAATTTTAAATATGCATTATATCAATACTGTTGACTTTATATGCAAATTTAATAGTTTACTTTATTTTCAGTTGGAGAAGATGGACAAATTAAAATTTGGTCAAAGACTGGGATGCTTAGATCAACTTTAGCTCAGCAAGGTATGTTTTATAATTGATAATTTTATTTTTGAAAGTTATAAAATATAAATGCCTTAATGTTTTCCTTTAGAATCAATTCAGTATAGTGGTTGAGGCTGACTTTGGTTAAATTCAAAACCTAGACTCTCTTCTTTCTATTTATATTTTTTCCCCTTATTTTCTATGATACCTGGTGGACATGGTAACCATATTGTTCAAGCCAAGAAATACATGAAATACTTATGGAATTTTTCCTTATGTTAGTGAATCTATATAAAGGCAATTATAGGCTAAATATTCTTGTAAAGTAATTCTGAAGCTTTTGGTACATTTTCTGTACTGATTAGGGGTGGGTGTCTAGTTGAGTAAATCATAGTCCTAGAAGACATTAAAAGTATCACTTGGGATTGGGGTTGTAGCTCAGTGGCAGAATGCTTGTCTAGCGTGGGTGAGGCACTGGGTTCAATCCTCAGCACTATATAAAAATAAACCAATAAGATAAAGGCATTCTGTGTGTCTGCAACTACAAAAAGCAAAACCAAAAAACAAGAATCACCTTACTTAAAAAGTCCCAATAAATTCATATTATTAGCACCTTTTCTAAATTATGTTGTGCATATAATTTCTATCCTAATAGAGGGGGACAGATATTCTGATGACCTGAAACTTGGTGAACTTCACTATTTTTAAAGGAGCATCTCCGTGTTCCTTATTAATGGAAAGAAGAGACAGTAAGTTGATCCAATGGTCATTTCTGTTGGAATTTATAGCACATGTGACTTTTTTTCTATGTAACAAATTGATTTTTCTAATTAGTTTTTTTTAAATTTTGTTTTCTTTTAATATTTTTATAATTGTCAATGGACCTTTATTTTATTTATTTATATGTGGTGCTGAGAATCGAACCCAGGGCCTCACATGTGCTATCACTGAGTCACAACCCCAGCCCCTAATTAGATTTTATGTAGGACGGTAAAGCAGTTTTACTGGTAACCTGAGAGCAGATGTGAGCTGATCTTCAAAGACAGAATGCCAAAACACTTGTAGCTTATTCTTCAGAATTATATGATGAGGTTATAGTATGAAGCATCAATAAATGACTTCCAAAAATTTCCAGATTTCATCTTAAAAATCGTGTTTACTCTTAGGATAATGTTAAAATGAGATTCTTTAGGTATCCATTAACTAAATGTTAACAAAGTAACTGGAAGTACTAAGTAGTATTTCTCTTCTGAGATTGCATCTTTGCCTTAAATAATTTCCAGGTAGAATATTATCCATGGGTAAAAAATGTAGAGTTCTTAGAAGTAGTCATGAATGAATTTCAGTTTAAAAAAGTCAGTTTATTATTACTTTAGTAATGAAGTGATAAAATGTACCTTTAGAGGACTAGGATTGTAGCTCAGTGGTAGAGCACTTGCCTAGCATGTGTGAGTCACTGGGTTCGATTCTCAGCACCACAAATGAATGAATAAATAAATAAAGGATCATCAACAACTAGAAAAATATTTTTAAAAATCTACCTTTAGGAAATTAATCTTTCTTTAATCTTCTAGTGGGCATGACAATTTGCTTTCTTCTTTATTGAATTTTTTTTTTCAGTGCTGGGGATTGGATTCAGGGCTTTGTCCGTTGCTAGGTACATGCTCTACCCCTGAGCTGTATAGATTTTTCTGCTAAAGCTAATTATATAAATTATGTGGCATTCTTACTTTGTGATGAGTGATTTATGAGCAATGGACAGAATTCTTCTAGAAATCAGCCCCCTTACAAGGATTGCAGGAAATTTCAGTAGTGTCAGCTGTTGTTGTCACTGAGACATCCTTTTTTCCTTCCCACCGGTGCTCCTCTTTCTTCTCTCCCACAGTGGTGATTGAAGCCAGGGTGCTTCAGCACTGAGTTATACCCCAGCTCATTTCATTTTTTATCTGGAGACATGGTCACTGGCCTTGACCTTGTTCTCCTGCCTCAGCCTCTTGAGTTGCTGGGATTATGGGCATGTATCCAGTCTCCTTCCTTCCTTTCTTTCTTCTCATCACTTTTGTTGCCTACAAATGACACAGATCTCTGGAGAAATTTTGAAATATTATCCCAGTTTCCACCATCAAAGATTTGAATTCTTTCCCAAGATTCTTTCCCTTCATAATCAGAAAAAGTCTATGATTATTTTTATTATTATTACTCTTTTTGTGGTGCTTGGGATTGAACTCAGGGCCTTATATGCACGGTAGGCAGGCACTTTGATCATGAGCTCATTCCCAGCCCCGGTCTTTAAAAATTTTTTTTTTTTTAATAAACTTCCTCGGTAAGTTTTGAGGATGATTATAAATCTGAACTACTGAGAGTAAGATGCTAAAAGTGTAAGTCAAAAGGCAAAGCAGGTGGGTATGAGGAACTCCTGCCTCTATTGAAGAGAGAAACTGTAAATTTTGATATAAAAATGAAATAATAGAAACTAAAATTATTGTATATATTAAAATCTATAAATAGTGCTGAAAGCATCCTTGTGGTATTGTTTCCATGTTTATGGTAATTATGCTTTTTTCTAATGAATAAAAAGGAGCCCCCCCCCAATGCTCCTTTTCTTTCCTTTTGATTTTGCCGTTTCCTCATTTGATTCCCTTGGATCTACCGCTTTAGACTTTCCAAAGTCCAAAATAGAATAATTTCTTTAATGTAAAAATTGTTAGTCATAGAAGTCAAGATAATAGTACTATTTGTTCAGTACTGTAGTTTACCTGGACTAATGGAAACCAGCTACTTATTTTACTTATTTACTAAAAACTATTATTTACTAAAAACTACTTATTTTACTCTTAGGGGAAAATGTGTTCAGAGTTTTCAAACTTATAAGTCGGAGACACATGTTCATAAATTAGGGGCTTTCTATAATACTGGAGGTTACAAACAGGGACCTGTGGGATGAATCTATTTTACTGGGCATGGTGGAGACCCAGTATTAAAGTGAGGACATTTTACATACATATTTAAATTTCCTGGTTTTTTTTTTTTTGGTTTTTGTTTTTTGTTTTGGTACCAGGATTGAATTCAGGAGCACTCAATCAATTGAGCCACAGTCTTAGTCCTTTTTATTTTTTATTTTAAGACAGGATCTCACTAAGTTGCTTAGGGCCTTGCTAAATTGCTGAGGCTGACTTTGAACTTGGGATCTTCCTGTTTCAGCTTCCTAATTGGCTGGGATTACAGGTGTGCACTGCTGCACCTGGCTAGATTTCCTGTTTTTTTTTGAAAAATGGGCAGTAATATTGGGCTTGCTATCTGACATAAGTACAGTCAGAGTTTAGTAGCAGTTGCTTCAGTTTTATATATTTAAGGTTTCCTACTTATTTTTCTATACTCCTACCTACTTTATTCATTTGCATTACACGATAGAACACACAACATAAATATCTGAATGCTTTGAGTTTGCAACTCTGACTTTCAATAACATTGATTTAAAATTTTATTTTTAGTGTATAGCATTGTATTTTTGTCTTAATTTGTTTAATAGATAACACATAAACATTGTTTTGGTTTTTTTTTGTGTCAGGGTCTTGCTCTGTTGGCTAGGCTGGGCTGAAGTTTCCCATCCTCTCACTTCAGTCTTCTGAGTAGCTGGGATTATGTGCTTAGTTCTTGTAGTGTTATTTTATATCCTTTTTGTCCTTTTAAATATTACCCATGTCTCTCATATTGCCCCTGTCTTCTAGATATCCAGATCATATTTCTATAGGCAACTAGTGTTACCTATTGATTTGTTTGATTTAGGTACTAGGGATTGAACCCAATGCCTCATACATGCTAGGCAAACACTCTACCACTGAGCTTTTCCTTGCCCACCAGTTTTTTGTGTAGCAAATATGCATTTATATATTTTTCTTTTATAAACAACTGGTTGCATACTATTATGGTATACTTGTTTTTTGTCTTTTTTTTTTTTTTCTGGAATCATGACCTATCTTGGAGATAGTTTCATTTCATCATACATAGAAATCTCTCTCAAATTATTTTCTAAAGCAGATGTACCATTTTACATATCCAACCACAATAATTGAAGGTTCCAGTTTCTCCATATCCTTGTCAATGCCTGCTATCATGTTTCTTTTCTTTCTTTTCTCTTTTTTTTTTTTTTTGAGGGGGGAGTACCAGGGATGAAACTCAGGGGCCCTTGACCATTGAGCCACATGCCCAGCCCTATTTTATATTTTTATTTAGAGACAGGATCTCACTGAGTTGCTTAGCACCTTGCTTTTGCTGAGGCTGGCTTTGAACTCATGATCCTCTTTTCTCAGCTTCCCAAGCTTCTGGGATTATAGGCATGGTGCTGGGCCTTGGTTTTTTTTTTTTTTTTTTTTTTTTGTGTGTGTGTGTGTGATTGAAAAAAGGGCCTCGTGTATGCTAAGCATGTACTCTACCAATTTATCTTTTCAATTATAATCTGGTGGGTGTGGATTTATGCAAATCAATGTAGTTTTGATTTGCATTTCCCTGATGACTAGTGAGATTGAGCATCTTTTTATTTGCTTATTAGCCTTTTTGTATATTTTTTTTTTTGGGGGGAATACCCAGTCAAACCCTTTCCCATTTGAAAAATTGGGTTTCTTAGCCAAGCACAGTGCTGCTAGAAAGATGGAGACGAGTGAATCACTTGAATCCAGGAGTTCATGAACAGTCTGGACAATATACTAAAACACTATGTCTTAAAAAATTATTATTATTGTATCATGTAATAAATAGTATTTTTTCTCAAATTCCAAAGAGCTATAATTTTTTTAGCATTAAATGACTTTGAAAGTGTTCGTCTTTTTTTGTCCTATTTTTTATCTTACTGTTCTCACTTAAGGTTTATATTAGTTATGATTTAAATAAAATAAAATTAGATTGACTTTCCTATTAGAGTTAGAGGTAGTAGATGTTAAAGGCTCAGGTAGGAAGGTAAGGCAGGTGAAGTAAGGGATTCTTTTCTAGTGAATAGAGAAACTGCATTTTTTGTTGTTGTTTTTAACATTTTGCACAGCATT